CTTTTTATCTAACACAAGTGCTCCACAATTTATCAACAATACTAATGCACAAATAAAATAGATAACTTATGTTTAGTTACTCTATGTAGATTTGTTTATTAACATTACTTACATTCATCTAAAGCAGTGTTGACAACAGTGAATTCTACTACATAATAGCACACATACATCATTCAGATGTCTTTTCATGTTGTGATGTGCTCATCTGTAATTCTTTTAGAACATTTTCCTGTCAGATATTAAATAGACATTTAGTAATCGTCTTTAAGATGTATATTGGTTTATATAAATTCACTTTGGAGACGTGCGTGTGCTTATTGGAGCTCCCCTGTTCGCTATACATAATAAAATATGTTTTTACAGTTAATCATCAGTTTACTCTACAGTAGTTCAACAAAAGTGATTTTAACACAGGGAAGGGAACCGTGTTTTTGGTTTGTAATACTTACATTTGTAAACACCCTCGTCACTGTTCTCCGCCCTGTTCGATGATGACGTATCCTCTCGCGTGGGCTTCTGGGATTGAAAAGTATCCATCGATGAACACTTCAGAATCTGGGCTGAAGCAGTAGGACATCCGGGGATTTCTCGCCTACTCTTTTATGAATACTGAGGTTTCGGACATACTACTTTCTTCACATACTCTTTTGTCCTACTATATAGTAGGTAAGTAGGCTTATTCAGACGCACTTTAAGTAGACGCACGTCCGAATCTCGCGAGAATTAGTACGTCACCCAGGTAATTCTCGCCTACTCTTTTATGAATACTAAGGATTCGGACATACTTATTCGCTCGCCTACTGCTTTCCCCCTACTATATAGTAGAGAAGTAGGCGGTTTTGGACGCAGCCAATGTCAATGTATTTGGTCTTGGTGGAATAGATCTGCTACGCTGCTGCTGTTGGTTATTGCTGTAGTTGTAGATTATTGCTGCTGCTGCTGCTGCTGCAAGCAAGTACAGGAACTTGCTATTGCCGATGCATATGGCGATACGGTGCTGTGAGTATTTAAGACATGCAAATAACCCATAACAGAACTGTACAGGTGGAGCTGGGGAAGGTGGAGGGTTTCAGAAGAACTCTGGAAGCGCGCTGCAAAATGTTCAAGTTGATGCTTACCAGCTATTTAAATGTAAAGCAGCAAGCTCATTGGCTGCGTATGCAATCATAAACCAATCAGCTTGTGCCAAGTCGTTTAACACTGTGAATATCATGAGTTACGTTAAGACCCATCAGCCTGCGCTATCTAGAGTTTCATGAAAGAACTATGCATTTGCGTCCGCTGTCACTGCGGTGTGTGGTGTTGAACATGAAAAGTGACGCAACAATCTCTGTTCATCTGTTCTCTTCATAAATAAATGTATAAGCCTATATGCTCGTCCTGTAGGTTCATTATAAAAAATGAAAATGTGAATTTTTACAACCCTGTCCGTCAAAATGACGGACAATGATAAAGTCTCATATATATATATATATATATATATATATATATATATATATGTTTTGCGTGATAT